TCATTTTTTAAAAGCCCCAGACATACCTAAAAGCACCTTAATACAGTTTTGATTAAGATTATTATTTTTTTCTTTCAGGATAAGTAGATTGTCATGATGGACAAGTAGACTGGGATCCCGATTTAGTTCCTTGGACAAATTTTTTTTTTCCAAAATTTCTACAACCCGGAGCTCTCAAACTTACCACATACCCAAATGTCTCAAAAGCATACAATAAAAATTGATAAATAAAATTGTATATTTTCCTTTCTAAATTAGTTAAATACTAAATATTTACTGAGTCTTTTGTCATATATCAATTGATTGCAAAACAAATACAAAAGAATTGTTTAAAAACTGCTGCAGGGCGGCACAGGTGCGCAAAATCACACACATGTATTAAAAAAAAAAATAAAATAAAAATTATACTTGTGCCGCCCTGCAGCAGTTTTTAAACAATTATTTTGTATTTGTTGTGCAATCGATATATGACACACGTGATTTTGCAGTTCTGGGTAGGAGGTGCGCACCATACCCGCGAAGCCATTCCCTGCTGGCAACTGGCGATCTCCAAGAATTACAGACAGGGGAGAGACCTGTTTATAAACAACAGAGATCTCTCTCCTGTCAGATCCTGCACACTGCTTTGTATGGCAAAGCAGCGTGCTTACAGTGGAAAGCAGAAACACAGTGAAACAGCACACAGTTAACCCTTTTATCGCTCCACGTGTTAACCCCTTCCTGCCCAGTGCCATTAGTACAGGGTCAGTGCTTTTTATTAGCACTGATCACTGTATTGGTGTTATTGAAGATGTCAGTTCTGGTGACACCAAGTCAGTTCCCCCCAGTGTCATAATGCCCGCCTCAGTCCTGCTATAAGTCACTGATCGCCACCATTACTAGTAAAAAAAAAAAAAAAAGAAAAAAAAAGAAAAGAAAAAATCCCAGCATATATACCGCCATTTCTAAATGCTATAACTTTCACGTAAACCAATTAATTTACACGCATTGGGATTTTTTTTTCCAGCAAAGACATGTAGCAGAATACAATGTGGCCTAAATTTATGACAAAATTTGATTTTTTTAAAGTTTTTTACTGGACATGTTTAATAGCAAGTCAAAAATATTTTTTTTTCTCAAAATACCACAGAAAGGAAGCTCTATTTGTGGAGAAAAAAGGTTGTAAATTTTATTTGGCTGCAGCGTTGCATGACCGCACAATTCTCAAAGTAACACAGCGCCATGGCCTGGTCAGGAAGGGGGGGGGGGGGGGGGTAAATCCTCTGGAGGGCAAGTGGTTTTGAAAGAAGTTGACAGAGGCAAAGTCTATTGTTTATTTTACAAAAAAAATATCTTCCTGTGTTATAATAAATTCCAGAAACATTGAGGAATTATTCACACCATGTCAGAATAGGCATACAGAAAACAAATTACTTCTATGTGCCCATTCACACCACACAGGTGAATTGTGGTGCACTATAAATTTAAATGCAGCATGCCTGCATTTGTACAGAGCACACCTCACCACAGCAGGCTGCAACGTGCAGTACACCCCTACACAACACACTCTAGTGTGTGTCCAGTATGGCATATGGACTAATACAAGATTTATTTAGGGACCTTTGAATCCTTTCGTCCCATCACTGCACCAATTCCACATGCAGCATGTAATGTGAGAATTTTTCTGAGAATTAATCATAGCTTAATCACCTGTGGATAACATTCAGTGAGTGACTGTTCACTTGCAGAAATTGCATACCAGGGATTACTTTTAAAAAGTCAGGTAAAACCATATCCCTAAATTCCTATGTATCAAGATTACAGTGAGCAGCTGGGATGCAGTAGGCTTAGAAGTTATATATCAAATGGCAGCCACTCAGATGTTGTCTGAACACGTAAGACCATTAACTAACCTAACCATTATCTTGGAACTGACACTATGATGTGAACATTTTAAAGCCATGTACAAACATATTACAGCTAACTTGAGTAAATTATTTTAGTACCATTTTGTATTTTAGAGTATAACTAAAGGAAAATTTTTTTTTTTTTTTAGTTGTGGACAGAGAGGATAGAGATTAGAACCCCTGTCAGTTTTTATTGCCGTCTGTGCCCCCATTAGGGAGATTCCCCCTCTCTATTTGACCTGTTTACCATTATCATTGAAAGTGAAAGTAAAAGAAAACCCCAATTTTGGGTTGTTCCCAGAAATGTAATACAGTGGAAATCATTCAATAAGGACACCACTTCTGGTGACCCCCTTTAATTTGTAGGGATTTCCTCTTATTTCCTGTTTTGGCTAAGGGACAGGAAGTGAAAGGTATTTTTTTCTCCAAAAAACACAGATTGTAAAAAAAAAAAAAACAAAAAAAACAAATTGATAAGGCTCATAACACTCCCTTTTTTGAAAATGAAAAAAAAGTATTGCCTATAGTTCCACTTTAATATATATATATATATATTTTTTTTTTTATTTGGTGGTCGAGAAACTCCTTTTCTTTACAATTCCCACAGAAAGGATAAGATTCCAAGTTCAAACAGTCTTATCTATAAAAAACCAAAAACCAAAAAAAGCCTCTTCAAAAGACAATACGAATTTAAATATTTTTGACAGCAAACAGTATAAAGTCACAAGATCTTACCTAATACCCCACTTGTTTCAATAGGATACTCGAGAATTGATGTAGCTGGAGCCAAGGTATAAGGATAATCATATGGTGTGTAGATCAAGCCAGCTTCTGGAGCTTGTGAGACTAGTGTTGCAGTAGGGTGAGGGGTTCCATTTGGCATGACAGCGGCTGTCTGTATTTGTCTGATCAAAGGCATTAAGGTAGGGCCAGCTGGCGTAGGTGCACGCAGAGCAGCTGGTGGCAGAACAGGCGCAGGCCCAGTTATAATCCGTGGGGCCTGAGCTGTCGCTGCAAGAGAAAAGGCAAGGGCTGCTACAGTAAGCAAAGAAAAATTAGAAGAAAGTGTAGAAGCAGCAGTACAAAAAAGGGTAGGAAATACATAAAAGGAAAAGAAGAGGAATAGAAAATAAGCAGGAAGGAAGGGGGAAAAAAAAAAAGGAGAATCATTAGTTCATGCGCTAATCACACAAAGTGCCAAAGCACACCATTCAAATGCGAACAAGCTATCCCAGATCACCAGTGTGATTAAATGCAAACATGCTTCAATTAAGTGCAAATACCTTACAGTAAGGTACTGCAAAAATGTCACAGATTACTGAAAAGCAGTACTTAGATAACAATCACTGTGAAACAAATTGTTAGAAAAGCCGGTGATTTTGCCATAAAGAATTCAAAAAGGTAAGAGAAATGAAGTTCAGCAGTCACAAGAAAATGAACAGATATGTGTGATGCTGTTAAATAGGAAGATCAACACTGGAAAATAATTTGGGAGCGTTATAGAGGGTTGCATTCAAAACTGTGAAATTTAAGTTATCTATAATGTCCATTACAAGGACAATGTCAAAAATATAGCATTAGCAGAGCAACACACTGCTGGAGAAAATGTACTACTTTCTGCAATGGTTAAATTGGCCTTATTCTGGAAATGCCCCAATACGTCATGGAACAGAATGCAACTTTTTCAAGGGCATTACACTTTGCTCATTTGTTACCAGGAGGAATACCTGTAGATTTTAAAACTGCTACCACAAGGGAGAAGTTAGCATATAGTTAGCAGATTTCTAAGGATCCTCTGCTATTTGTAACAGTACAAGTTTGGATACAATGCATTTCAGGAGACATTTCAAAGCTGTAGTAATTCAGAGCCTACAAATGTATGCTTTTCATTTTTTTAATCAATCTACACAGTAGCATGCATGCACAAAGATCAAGCACTATCAGTGAAATCCCGAATACCTAAGCAGTAAACAAAGCATGCTAAACTGTGTAATAAAAAGAATAGAGGAAGTAAACATTGAAAAAAAACAAAAACACGAGGAAGAAGCCAAACATATAAACAACTTATTGAATGAAAACGATGCAAGAGGCAAAGTCCCATTTGCAAAGTGCAGTAAGCTAAGACTGGATGCTATGGGTAGCTGCATTTTGTACTTGGCACTTTTAACTGAATAAGGCTGGTTGTGCTTTACATGAGCGTTTCTTAAACACGTATGAAAGAACAGTTAAGTATGTTCAGGAAACGGAATACTAACAGGCATTAAAAAGCTGATGCCTGAAAAAAAATACAATTGCAGTTACTAAAAAGTTTACTCCAGTCAAATACAAAGTGTAATTGTTTTATTCTGCAGCCACTCCCTACTGAATCACACACCTATAGAAAGGCAGCAGCACTATTCACAACTGTAGCATATATCATCACAATGCTGGGGTCCACCTTGTGCTCTATATCTCCCATAACCCTAAAGCTTGGAACATGTCAAATCAACAACCTTGTACAATGCATTAAAGTCAAAATGTCCTCCTTCACAACACTAGGGTTTGTAGGACTGTCAGTAGCTCGGTCTTAACATGACAGTATAGTTTCCACTGACTCTAAGGGCTTGCTCACATGAGCAGCGGGGGTCAGTAAAAGCAGGGGGTTGAGCCACAGTTTTACCTCCTCTGACCATCCACCTAAACACAGAAATGCAGCTGCCTATGTGCTGTACCCATGCCATGTCCTTGATGCTTTGGTGTCATGGATGTGGCAAAAATTAAACCACATGTCTCGTTTGATAGATGTTATCACTGCTGAATGCAATCCATAAAGTGAATGAGACCACTGAGCAACTGCTCTGCAACTGCGTGCACATATCTCCTCATGGGCTGTCCACCATTCTCTGAAAAGGAATCCACTGTGAATCACTTTTCAGAGAGATTGCAATATATCCACGTATCGCCCACAGAAAAGTGATCTGCTGTAGATTGCTTTTCAGTGCTTGATGATGAGTAGGTGTTCTATTGCCGGTGTTAAAGCGGTAGTAAACGCGGCTTGGCAACTTGTGCCGACAGGTAAGCTGATAATAAAGCTTACCTGTAAGTACAAGGAATATCTCCTAAACATGCATTGTTTAGTAGAGGGCTTGAAATTTTCACTCGCCTGCTCGCCAATGGCGAGTGGAAATTATGGTGGGGGCAAGTGTGTCCCCCAGGGCCGTCTTGCTGAGGAGGCTTGGAGCTCAGGCCGGACCTGTCATTGGCACTGAGAGCCGTCAGACTGCTCAATAGCTGAGTGCAGTGAAAGCAAAGGAAGGAATGTGTGCTGTGCTCTCTGCCTCCCCCTAGAGTGCAGTACCCCGCTCTGTGAGTGAACAACAAAGTATTGCAACTTTTTATTGGTGGGGGTCCGTGTACATGTGTGTGTGTCTGTGTATGCATGTACAATTGTACATGTGTCTGCGTGTATGTACATGTGTGTATCTGTACATGTGTCTGCATGTATGTACATGTATGTGTGTACATGTGTCTGTGTGTGCATGTTCATGTGTGTGTATATACGTACGTGTGTGTACATGTGTCTGTATGTATGTATGTATGTACATACGTACGTGTGTATTTCTGTGTATGTACATGTATACGTGTCTGTACGTGCCTGTGCACGTACGTACATATCTGTATGTGTGTGTACAGGTGTCTCCATACGTTGGTGGCGAGTAACTCTAATAGCCTGGCTGGCTAGTAGCCTGGCCTGGCTAGTAGCTCAGGACCTGAAATTTTAAGTCCTGATTTAGGAGATATTCACTAAGATGTGAATGGTGAAGTCACCGGCACACTGTGCTCTGAATGGATGGCAGAAGGAATATACCATCCATTCAGAGTGCTGTGCCACAATTGTGGCTCCTGTGTGCATGTGCGGGAGTGACGTTACCACGGCCTGGCCATTCAAACATCTAGAGCCTGAGAATCAGGAAGGAAGACCAAGTGAAGACAGACAGTGTGCTGCTGTCTGTCTTTATAATATTGTATAAGTATAGATGCACTTCCTCAGTTTCAACAAATAATGACTGCTACTCAGTCAATAGTGCATGTGCAAACAAAAAAATCATACATTAAAAAACCCTGCAATTTCATCAATACTACCAAAATATCCAGTGAATAAAGTGCTTGGGGAATTAAAAATTCATCAGAATATATTCAAATAGTATATACATTTTGTGAAATGTAAAGCCCATGCAAGTTTTCCAATATGTGCAAAGAAAAAGTTACCAGGTAAGAGCTCTCCACTTACACTTCTCACCACTGGTCACACAGCCTCTTTCCAAATCCAGTTGATCTTCTGTGCAAACAGAGATCAACATGCACTTGTGTTAATAAACTCCTGGGTAGACTGCCCTCAGCAGCCAGTAGTAAACTCCTGGAGACCAATTTACACACCCCAAGGACCAGCAGTGTGCCACAAGAAGAGCTCAAAATATTCCCCAAAATAATATTAGGCAAGCGCCAATATAGTGTAAAACTGCCAAATGGATCGATTTATTCAGCAGCAGACAGGTACTTACACAGCAAATAGAGAAGTACATTGTAATGTGCGGGCGCAATGGTGTCATCGGTTTAGCCCCCGTCCAAAGTTTATATACTGTTTTTAATATGTTCTGATGAATTTTTGATTGAACCAGCACGTTATTCACTGAGTATTTGGAATTACTGATGAAATCGTGTTTTATTTTGATGATTTTTTTGTTTGCACATACACTATTGATTGGGTAATGGTCATCATTTGTTGAAATTGAGAAAGTGCACCTATATTTATATGATATAACATATGATTGGTGGATATTCAGAGAGATTACCGTACAACATCCAGATCATTTGAACATACATCTTTTCTATATAGTCTTTCATAATGTGCTAGTGTGCAGTGCATACTAGCACATTATGCCATCGACTTTGAGGGGGAAGGTTTTATTTAATTTTAATTTACAGCCTTTACTACCACTTTAACCCCCCAAAAAACCCCACCCCCATGCAGCAATGAGTGAGGCAGCTGCGACATGGCAGTAATGATTGTAAGCCATTACATACAGTTGCAAGAAAAAGTATGTGAACCCCTTGGGATTACGTGGAGTTTTGCATGAATTGGACATAAAATGTGCTCTGAACGCCATCTAAGTCACAACAATAGAAGAACACAGTCTGCTGAACATAATAATACACAAACATTAGATGTTGCCATGGTTTAATTGCACATAACATGTAAACATTCACAGTGCAGGGAGGAAAAAGTATGTGAACCTTTGGACTTAACTGGTTGACCCTCCTTTAGCAGCAATAACCTCAACCAAAAACTTTTCCTGTAGTTGCAGATCAGACCTGCACAATGATCTGGAGTAATTTTGGACCACTCCTCTTCACAAAACTGTTTCAGTGTAGCAATATTCTTGGGATGTCTGGTGTGAATCGCTCTCTTAAGGTCATGCCACAGCATTTCAATCGGGTTGAGGTCAGGACTCTGACTGGGCCACTCCAGAAGGCGTATTCTGTGCTGTTGCAGCCATTGTTTTGTTGAATTACTTGTATGCTTTGGGCCATTGTCCTGTTGCATCACCCATCCTCTGTGGAGCTTCAGTTGGCGGACAGATGGTCGTAGGTTTTCCTGCAAAATGTCTTGATAAACTCTGGAATTAATTTTCCCATCAATGACAACAATCCGTCATGTTTTACAAAGCAGCCCCAAACCATGATGCTCCCTCCGCCATGTTTTACAGTGGGGATGAGGTTTTGATGTTGGTGTGATGTGCCTTTTTTTTCTCCACACATAGTGTTGTGTGTTCTTCCTAAACAACTCAATCTTGGTTTCTCTGTCCACAGTATATTTTGCCAGTAGTGCTGTGGAACATCCAGGTGCTCTTTTGCAAACTTTAAACGTGCTGCAATATTCTTTTTGGACAGCAATGGCTTCCTCCGTGGTGTCCTCCCATGTACTCCATTCTTGTTTAATGTTTTCCTTATTGTAGATGTGTCAAAAAAAATGTTAGCATGTGCCAGAGATTTCTGTAGGTCTTTAGCTGACACTCTAGGATTCTTCTTTACCTCATGCAGCATTCTGCGCTGTGCTCTTGCAGTCATTTTTACAGGACGACCATGCCTAGGGAGAGTAGCAACAGTGCTAAACTTTCTCCATTTGTAGACAGTCTGTCTTACCGTGGACACATGAACATCAAGGCTTTTGGAGATACTTTTGTAACCCTTTCCAGCTATATGCAAGTCAACAATTCTTGATCGTAGGTCTTCTGAGAGCTCTTTTCTGCGAGGCATGGTTCACATCAGACAGTGCTTCTTGAAACCAGTAAACCCAAAACAGGTGTGTGTTTTTTAAGGGCAGGATAGCTGTCAGCAACACATCCAATATCATCACACTGATTGGAGTCAAGGTTGGCTCACTCCTGGCTCCAATTCGCTCTGGGAGAAGTCATTAAGCTAGGGCCTCACATACTTTTTCCTCCCTGCACTGTCAATGTTTACATGTTATGTGCAATTAAACCATGGCAACATCTAATGTTTATGTAGTATTATGTTCAGCAGACTGTGTTCTTCTATTGTGACTTAGATGATGTTCAGAGCACATTTTATGCCCAATTCATGCAAAACTCCATGTAATCCCAAGGGGTTCACATACTTTTTCTTGCAACTGTATATTCACTGAAGTAACAAGCCTCAGATGATGCACAGAGATGAAACCAATCTTTCTACATAAGTTGTACCTGTTTATCTCTCAACTGCCTTCCAAAACAAATTTTACACAGTACAGTGGATATATATAAAAAAAAAAAAAAAGTCTACAAATGTCAGGTTTCTGTGATGTAAAAAAATAAGACAAAGAAATAATTTCAGAACTTTTTCCACCTTTAATGTAACCTATAAACTGTACAACTCAGTTGAACAACAAACTGAAATATTTTTGGTGGAAGGAAGTAAAACTAAAAAACTAATAATATAGTTGCATAAGTGTGCCTACCCTAATACTAATACTTTGTTGAAGCACCTCTTGATTTGATTCCAGCACTAAGTCTTTTTGGGTATGAGTATATCAGCATGGCACATCTTGATATTTGCCCATTCTTCCTTGCAAAAACACTCCAAATCTGTCCAATTGCGATGACATCTCCTGTGCACAGCCCTCTTCAGATCACCCCACAGATTTTCGATCGGATTCAGGTCTGGGCTTTGGTTGGGCCATTCCAAAACTTTCATCTTCTTCAGGTGAAGCCATTACTTTGTTGATTTTTTGGATGTATGCTTTGGGCCACTGACATGCTGAAAGATGAAGTTCCTCTTTATATTCAGCTTTCTAGAAGCCTAAAGGTTTTGTGCCAAAATTGACTGATATTTGGAACTGTTCATAATTCCCTCTACCTTGACTAAGTTCCAGTTCCAGCTGAAGAAAAACAGCCCCAAAGCATTATGCTGCCACCACCATGCTTCACTGTGGCTATGGTGTTCTTTTGGCAATGTGTTTTTGCGCCGAACATATCTTTTGGAATTATGGACAAAAAGTTAAATCTTGGTTTCATCAAACCAGAACACATTTTCCCACATGCTTTTGGGAGACTTCAGATGTGTTTTTGCAAAATTTAGCCGGGCTTGGATGCCGTCCAAGCCACTCTACCCCATAGCCCAGACACATTAAGAGTACGGGAGATTGTTGTCACATTTACAACACACAGCCAGTACTTGCCAGATATTCCTGCAGCTCCTTTAATGTTGCTGTAGGCCTCTTAGCAGCCTCCCAGACCAGTTTTCTTGTCTTTTTATCAATTTTGGAGGCACATCCAGTTCTTGGTAATGTCACTGTTGCACCATATTTTCACCACTTGATTACTGTCTTCACTGTGTTCCACGGTATATCTAATACCTTGGGAATCCTTTTGTACCCTTCTCCTGATATCTTTTAACAATGAGATCCCTCTGATGCTTTGGAAGCGCTCTGCAGACCATGGTTTTTGCTGTAGGATGTGACTAAGAAAATGTCAGGAAAGACCTACTATAACAGCTTAACTTTATATGAGGTTAATCAGAGGCACTTTAAATGATGGCAGGTGTGTACTGACTCCTATTTAAAAATATTTTTGAATGTGATTGTTTAATTTATGAACACAGCTACATCCCCAGTTATAAGAGAGTGTGTGCACACTTATGCAACCACATTGTTAGTTTTTTTATGTTGATCATTGTCCTGCTGGAAGGTGAACCTCCACCTCAGTCTCAATTCTTTTGCATACTCTAACAGGTTTTCTTCTAAGATGGACTTGTATTTTGCTCCATTCATCTTCCCATAAACTCTGACCAGCTTCCCTGTCGCTGCTGAAGAAAAGCATCCCCACATGATCCTGCCACGTTTCATGGTGGGGATGGTGTGTTCAGGGTGATTTGCAGTGTTAGTTTTCTGCCACACACAATGTTTTGCTTTTAGGCCAAAAAGTTCAACTTTGGTCTCATCTGACTAGAGCACCTTCTTCCACATGTTTGCTGTGTCCCACACATGACTTTTTGCATACGGAAAAGAAGACTTCTTATGGCTTTCTTTCAACAATGCCTTTCTTCTTTCCACTCTTCCATAAAGGCCAGATTTGTG